TACTAGGAAGGAAATTAACTCTATCCCTGCCGAAACCAGGACACTGGGTGATGAGCATTCAGCCTTAGATGGAGTCTACCACCAGCTCTGGGCCTCATTCCCAAGTAACGTGGCTCCGAGAAGCCCCAGGCCCACTGCGCTGTGGGGGCTGCTACTGGCCTCACTCCATCTACAGGCTGGGCCTCGATCGGAAGGACTTGGACACCCGCACACCCAAGAGCAATGCCAGGGACGGGGGCTTCTGTACGTCACACCTTCCCTTTTCAGTAAGGGACTCCTCCTGAGCTTCTTTTGCTCTGTTGACTCATATGCTTAAATTCAGTGGGTCAGCACCTCCATCTGAGGTTGCAACGGGACTGGAAGGCCTTCACTGATTTTTTTCCAGGCCCGTTCCCTTCGGCGTGGTTTTGTTGGGTAGTGCCAAGGCCCTGAGGGCACTGGTAGGGCTTAATGGCCTTCACCAACCTCACCTGGAGACCCACACCCACACTCCATGCCCATGGTCCCAGGAGCTCATTTAAGCTCAGGCCTGGACCTTCGACATCTGCCTGTGCTTTGGTGAAGGAGTACGAGCTGGAAAGCAATGAGGGCTGGTGAGAAATGAGGATAGGTGAGAAAAGCTCATTGAGATGATATCGGGTGACCTGCCAAATCCCACCAGACTACTGCATTTAACACTTCCTACCAGGAATATCAGTCACCTCCCCTTGTTCGTGATGATGCAGATGATGTCAGGGTGAAAATGGGGCCAAGTGGGTTTTTTTAATTGAAATTCCGGTTGGACTTGGCCATAAAATCAAGGGCTGTGATGAGGTGACAGTTCTGGTCCTCCAAGCATTACTATAGTGTCCCTCTTTTGGAAAAGAGCATCATCTGGTTGCAGCATTGTTTTACGAGATTTACTCAACTTTTGCAGACTTTGGACCCTCTTGTGATTTGGGCTCCCCCATGACATCAAGAGAAAGGAGGTTCCTAACAATTTGCAGGTACGATTTGAGAAGTGGGGAAAAGTTCTGCAGAACATCCATCAGCAGAGAATATCTCTAAATATGGAGGTATTTCCCCTTTCTGCAATGCCCTTCTTACTTCCACAGCAGCTCCTGGTGGACACAGAGTCTTTTATGGAGTCCCGCGTAGGACGGAAGCCGGCCTTTGACTCTGTGGTCCTGGATGAAATGTCCCTTCCACCCAAAAGGGTTTTCCATGGTTACTCAGAATGAGATTTAAATGTAGGACATAAAAGAAATCTAAATTATTTATCTGATGTTTGGCTCTGCCTTTTCACACCAGAGTATCTGTGTGTCCTCCCCCAGAATATTGGCAGTGAGATGTCCAAGCCCTCGCCCGGCTCAGCCCCGGTACCTGATTTGGTCACCAACTGCCTCACCAAGACCCTTGAAACGCCGTCAGAATATCTGCAGTATTTCTCTGCCCTTTTCCCTATCCAGAAAATTTAACCATTTCTTTTAATTTCCTTAGTATAGAGGAGAAGATCCACCTCCCAGCCTGAAGGGAAAGAGCCCCATGATTGCAAATCCATGCAAATGTATGTAAATAACACAGGAGGTCTGCTGCCACGCCAGACCCTGGAAGAGTCCCAAGGGGGCGTC